TTGATCTCCTTCCCTTTTCCTATCTGGCTTTGCCTGGGTTATAGACATTTTATCTTCATTTAGATTTTCAGAAAAATATTATAAGCAGTAAATGTAACATAAAGTGTACTACGAAAAAGGCCCGTTGTGGAAATAAATACAACGGCTTCTAGAAAGAGGCTCTGGGCAGGTGCCACGGCCTTGGACACTCAGTGTCAATTTGCTGTGGTGAACTCAGCAGGGTATAATGACACTGAGTCCACCATTTTCTCCAGAGGAACTGATCTCTGCTACCTAAAGAACAGTTTTAATTTTGAGTGATCTCCAGCCCTCACCTGGAGGTTGGCAACAATGGTTCCCCAGAAGGGAATAGTTGGTTTGGAGGGTGGAGTTTATGGCTTTGTACCTGTCCGAGGTCCCACGCCTCATTAAACCTCACCCTCTCCAGACTCCATCCCTCACATCTCCAGGAAATTCCCACCTGGAGTTGGCAACCCTATCTCCTGCCCAGCCAATCATCAACCAACCTTTATTTTCCCCTCACTCTTCAGCTTTCCACCCCACACACACCTGCAGCCTCTCCCATGCTCTGAAGCCCTGACTACTACGTCACATTGGCTGTCATATGGGGGCCACCTCAGCAGCATATAAGGATACAGAGCCCACCATTTTCTCCAGGGGAACTGATCTCTGCCATCTGGAAAGCAGTTGTAATTCTGAGTGATCTCCAGCCCTCACCTGGACATTGGACACATTTTACCTCAGAACAGCAAAACTGGTTAGAATGTTAGAGGCAAAAGCCAATCAAGTTGCATATGCAAACGACCTCTGTGTTTCGAGGCAGAGGCCAATGAGGCTGCATATGCAAATAACCTCTGTGTTCTGACTGGCTATGGGGGAGAGAGGAACTGCAAAATGTTTAGAATGTTGGAGGCAGGACTCAGGCAAAGCAGCCAGTGGATAGGGAGACCCTCTGAATGACAGATCAGAGAGCGAACTGATTTTGGAGCGTGTGGAATGTTCTAGAGAAGTGAGATGCTGGGCCACACTAGCGATGATGGTGTCCTCATAGCTGCCAAGAAGATGCCACCACCATTTTAAAGTATGGGGTTGATTCTGATTGGGCCTGTAGCACAGTGCTTTTGTTTCCCCTCCCCCCCAAACCTTATCAAGTGCCAAAACAGCTGGACACACACACCCCAGTGGATATTTCAGCACTTGAGAAGGCACTGGGGAGGGGATAAGGACACTGTGCTTCAGGCTCAACCAGGATCAGGCTGTTGCAGTATTTCTAAATGACTTTAAAATGGTGGTGGTGTTCTCAGGGTGGCCATGAGGAACCCATCACATCCGGTTTGGTCCTAGGACACTTTGGAAGGTGGTTTTCCAGCAAAACAATCAATCAAAATAGCCTTGCATAACCTGGCATGCTAGATCAAATCTGAATTCCTTTTACAATTTAAGTTTGAGTCTTTTTTTTTAGAAAGGCAGCTTATACATTTCATAAATTTCTTCCAAGTTTAATAAAGATAAACTTTTATCAAAGTCCGATCAGCTGTTGCAATGCTGACTTTTTAAATCTGGCAGGCAGATTTTGTAAAACCTTTACTTGCACAGGGCCCCAAAGCACTAGGGTGTTCACATTAGGCTGATAAGCACTGGCTTTACAGTGTCCTGCAGTAACTCAAAAAGCACCTTGCAGAGTTAGAAAAAGTACAGAAGAGAGAAACGAAGGTCCCTGCCACACGGCAGGAAAAACGACGGGCGAAGCACGGGTAATCCGTGGCGTCTCACCAAAGTTGAGATGCCGCGGCGGGATCCCATGGATCCCCTGAGCCGCGGCGCCGTCGCTCCCCAGCACGATCAGATGCCGGGGAGAAAGCAACGGTGGGAAGGGGAGGCTGGCGAACTGCGCATGCTCACACATGCGCAGTTCGGCCAGGAGCAGGGGATGTGCCGGCGCAAGGACGCGCCGGCGATCCCACGGCCACACTTGCCACGGCCCTTCAGGATGAACCACCCAGGTAGGTGGTTCTTTTTTGGTGCGGGGTTTTGGGCAGGAGGGACGGATCGGGGACGGCCGGGCAACGCTTCCCAGATGTTGCCGTGGGATCGCGCCCATTTGCCGCACATCCGTTCCGTCCCTCTCCCGGCCCATTTCCTCGCGTGTGACCGGGGCCGAAGACGATTAAGCCCTTGGAGCACCTTTCCTATGAGAAAAGGCTAAAGCAATTATGCACAGAGGAGAGGGAGTGAATAGAAAGAACTTGTTCTCTCTCTCCCAAAATATTAGAACTCAATGGCACCTAATGAAGTTGATGGACAATAGATTTAGGACAGACAAAAGGAAGTATTTCTTTACTCAACGAATGATTAAAATGTGAAATTCACTGCCAGAGTGTTGGCCACAAGCATAGATGGCTATAAAAGGGAATTAAACAGATTCATGGAGGATAGGTCCATCAGCAGCTTAAATCTCTGAACACCACTGCTAGGAGGCTACATCAGGGGAAGGCCTGTTATTTGCCCGCCAGAGTAACTGGATGGCCTGGCCACTGTGTGAGACAGGATGATGGACAAGATACACCACAGCTCTTCTTATGTTCTTGTGCCTTGAAAATAATAAAAATGAACATTTCAACTGCTTATGGTGACCAGGATCCAATTGGCTGCTTAGGCACTTTGCTCCTGCCTAGTAGACCCCACACCCATGTTTTGAATAGCTAGGTAAAATGTCATATGACTTCACAACCTGCTTTGAAACTCTCCTTAGTTTGTGAAGCATTTTGCCATGCAGCATTGTGGGATGAGGAAGTGATGTTTGAGCAAAACAAGTCAAACCAGCGGCTCACAGAACTAGTTTCATGGTTCTTTGGATCCCAGCCAGTAGTACAGACTGACCCAGAGATCTTTCTATAATTTCTCCCTACCAGAATTTAATAACAACAGTTATTTGAGCTGAAGAAAGTACCTCTGCCAGGGGAGTTTTCTTCTAGCAGCTAGGACCTAACAGTTCACATATATGCTCATGAACCCTGGCACATTTGACCTTAGGGGTACTGATTTCTTAAAATGTTATATTCTAATATCAAAGTAGCCCACATCTTTGATAAGACAGATATTTCTACAAACCTGGAAAGGGCCCCAGGTTTGCAGAAAAAATGTGAAATCTAAGAAAGGGGGGGGGGTTAAAAAGCCAAACATATTAAAAGGAGCCCCTGTAACTTTAAGCAATGGATTCTCTCAGTGGCTGTTGCTAGGCAACCACAGTGTTTCAAGGCTTGGTCTGTCAGTAAAAGCAAGGGGGAGGGGCAGAGCCATTTCCAGGCCTGTTTTGGCCTTTGAGAGAGGGAACCTTTGTAAGTATGCCAACTCCGCCCATCAGGAGAGGTTGTTTCAACCATCAATTGACCCTATAGGGGTGCCCCAGGAGTCCATACAACAGGCACATTGACATAAGTGAACACAAAGATGGAAGCCAGAACTGGCAGGCCATAATATTATCCCTAGGATATGCCCCTGGAAAGCACATTGACCGCTCTGACTACCCCCTCCCACAGGAAGGATGCAGGAAAAGGGTATGTGGCTTTCAGGAAAGGGAAAGAGGAAATAGTGAGGGTGGGGGAAGTGTGATGTCTCCCACAAGTCCTTGCGGGTTCCTATATGTAATATCTAATTCTTATGTATCTGATTCACGCTGAATTTGCTAGATGGACAATTGTTTATTGCAGTTGCATACCTATAGTATCTGACACCTGGAGTGGGTAAACAGGTGCAGTGGGATGAGGGCTCAGTGGCTAGGCAGGGAGTGCACCAGCACCATGTGCCCACTGCACAGCACCATGAAGAAGTGGGTGCTGGGTGGGCAGGCAAAGTAGCCTGGTGTTGGTGCCAGTATAGGTGTCGTGGGCAGACCTGGGCACACAGTGCCACTGTCTCTTCCACATGGAGCCACGTCATGGCTGGCTGGGCAGAGATTCAAAGTGTGGCATGTTGTACAGCATGACAGTGATCAGTAAGGCCAGTATGTATGGCTAGGATTGCTAGGTACACTCACTTGACTGCTGGGGGGGGCTCCTGGCCCACTTCTGGGAGACCAGAAGTGGTTTCGGGCCACTTCCAGTAAAACCAGAAGTACCTGCACTGACATACTGACATCACTCAGAAGTGGCGTAGGCACCTCAGGGACATCTGGGGGTGATGCTCTGGTATTTGGGCAAACTCCATGGTAAATTCAGGTATCAAGTCTGGGTCCTCAGCTGAGAAACCTAGTAACTAAGTTCCACTGCATAGTGTGAGCGGAGAGACTTGGTGTTGCCCTGCAAGGTGCTTATAGTGCTCTTATGGACATAGTTCATAAGTGATAAAAACTGGACTGTGCAAGTAGTGGGACTGAATTGTGTGGTGATCCAAAAATGATGCCAACTACAGACACACACCCAGAAGAAGAAAGCCTTCCTTTGAGATGATGTGCCTATGGTTCTTAAGGTACCTGCCCTCTTACCTGCTGTAAAGTGAACCAGCTCCCTAGCCACATGTAGCACTGAAAACCAAGGCAGAAGACCAGAGACATGGAATCCAAACACCATGTGGAGCTTCTTCCTTGTATGCACAGCCAGCATTCCCCTTCCCCCACATAAGCCTCGCCTAGCTGAAGCTACAACCATGAGACAATCAAGGAATATCAATGACAATGACTCTGGCTGCATGAGTCATCATCCCTCCAGGTGCCACTGCCCTGCCCAGAATTACTAGATCACAACATTGTCCACTCCCTTAATCCCCTCCCCCTGTACCCAGCTCCAGTAGCATATTTTGGGACGGACTAATAGGAGGTGTGCCAGGGGATGTAACCAGCTTAACCCACCCCCAAGCACATCATTAAAGGAGGTGCACCCAGCCATGTGCTCTCTCTCTCTCTCTCTCTCCTGACCTCTACACCCACCCTACCTCCACGACTCTTGGTTAGCGCAGTCAGAGTCTCCCTGTGTTTCTGCTGGTTCAGGACACGACCCTAATACCACATAGTCTCCCTCATTTTTTCCACGGATCGCTTCATCCTGCCAAGGACAGGTAAAGTATTACCCCTCAACGTAACATCCTGCTAATGCAATTGTGGCTATCCCCTTCTATCTAATTTTCTTAGATCTGTGTAATTGTGAGTGTGTTTGAATTACTGTATGTTTGCAAGATATCTTCAGAAAATTAAACCATTTTATACTGAAGCCAGCCTTTGAGTCTATTTCTGGTGATTTGGGAAGAAGCGGGACCCCTGTATACATAGGTGCTTGCTCCCTTATTTGCCCATTGCCTCGTGTAAAATCATAATTCCCCATAGATCGTTAATAATTTGTGGCAATTTGGCTAACATTGGTGGCTCAGAACTCTATATCCAAACCCCAACAGCAGAGAGCAGATCACAAGCAGAAATCAATGAATCTGCTCTGCTTTTTACAACCCTTTTTTATTGTTACCAGCCAACAGAGGAGAAGATGGGAGCTAAACTGGCTGAATATATAGCATTCTGAGCCAATAGAGCAGAATGGGAACTCTGTGATTGGTGGCCAGCAATGCCTGTTAAGCTTTGGAGGTCTCCTATTGGTCTGAGGCTGGAGAATTCTGTCCATTCCTGTTGCCTTGGAGTTTTGTAAACAGTTTAATTGAGCAGCACCAGTTTGCCTGGAAAATATATCCATTCACGAACCGCCACGAACAGCACTAAAAGTTCATGAAAGTTTGTGGCAGCAGGGCCACCATAAACTTCATTTTGCAAACCACAAACCAGCCAAAATTCATCACAAACTTTAGTTCTGTGAGCCTATTCATGCCCATCCCTACATGTTAGTCTGCTGCAGGAAAGCTATAAGACTCCTCCTCTCCCCAAATAAAGTGGGATCCTATGCCAATATCTGGAACCTGCTGAAACTGGTGCTTCCTTCCTGTGATTGAGAGACTGTGTTTTTGTTGTTGTTTTCCAGTTTACTACTCCCGTCCTTAAGATAAGAACATGGACAAAGATTAACCTACTGCAAGTGTGTTTTTCCCCACCCTCCTGTCTGATGAAGAATGGACAAAAATCAAGCACATGAACCAAGCATATGTCAGTTCTATGGGCTGTAAGTATTGTTGAATCATTCTGCTCTCTGTCTGTTCTCATCCTCTGATCATCCTCTTGGATTATCTACTTATCTTATGAATATGCAGATCTCTATTATACAGAGTTGAACAGCTAAATCATATATATTCAGTATTGTTTGAATTGCTCAGTGGGACCTCAGGTAGAAAAAGGTATTTTATTTCACTGGTGTGCTCTTGTGTGTGTGCTCGAGCAAGCAGGTTAGAGGCTTGGCTGTTTGTTTGTTCCCTCCCTCCCTTCCTGCAAGAATGTATGCAAGCAGGCACCCACCCAGCCACCCCAGGGAGAGGTGGGACAGCTAACAGGGCAGCGTTGCTGTTGTTGGATAAGGCAGGATGGGGGGGAGTGGGGGGATTGGAAAGCAATCGGGGGGAAAACCCTTCTCTCCAACAGCCCCACAGGACGTCAGGGGGCCTTGGCACTGAGAGAAGGAGGGGGCAATTCCAGACAAGCCACCAAGATAGGGAAGGGGGAGGGGAGGAAGCCTTGGCAAGCCTGTTTGGAGCAGCCTCAAACAAGCCACCAAGACCGGGGGGGGGGGGCCAGTGGGTGGCAGCTGCAGGGGAGCCTGGGGAGAAAATGTCTGTGGGAGATGAGATCCCCACCCGTGAGTATCACGGGCAGGCCCCACTTGTACTATTCTATTTGAGTGCAGTCCTTGATATGCTGATTTGGAAGAAAGCTGCCATATTGGAATTGCAGCCTCAAAACAATCATCAAAGGTTTAAATATAGACACTTCAAAATGAAAGAGGTGGAAATAAAATCCCTGAGGTAATTAAAACTGACCCAGTGGCAAATGTATTGAGCTCAGATAAAGAATAAAGTTCTGACATTCCTCAGTCAGTCACTAAGGAAAACAGAAGCTGATTGATGTCATAACTCCATTGTTTCGAGGGACTCTGTTAATTTAGTGGCAACAGAACCTTGGTTCCCTCTATTGTAAAAGCCCTAATGATCACACTAATCACAGCATCTTGTTCTTTGTGCTGCAGCTTTACAAAACAATACTTAATAACTGTTATTCCCCAGCAGGTTTCTTTGTGAAATAACCTTTTAAAAAGCTGTCCTACCACAAGTGATATAAAGATAATTTTCTGAATCTCTCAGCTGTTCAGATTAAGGTCAGGCTGCTGATAACCACGTCATGATTCTGAAATGCGGGGTTAGTACACTGAAAACTGTAGCTGCAGGATGAAAATAGAACCCAGAGCCTTCTACCTGTGATGGAGGCTGTATAAGTGTGAAGTCTTTATTTGCCTGTGTCACAAAAATCAACATTCTAGCTATAATTCACTTACAGAAATGTCATCCTTTCCCTTCTCCTGAGGTTTCTCCACAGTCAAACAGACGTCTGGAAATTAGGACTGCAGCAAATTCCTTCAAAACAGTATATAATGTGACACATGTATAGATAGCCTAAACTACAAAATCGCTAATTAATATTGCTGTTATTAATATTGTTTGTGTGGCAGGTTTGAAAGAAGTAGACATATTGATCAAGTCTGGCAAATGGTTGGATTTAATTTCCATCAATTCCCATCATATGTCCATGTAGAATATTCCTAGGATTACTTGTTCAGTTCACCCATCCACATTTACAAAATGCATTGCAACAATACTGCCCTCTTCTGGATCATAGAGCAAATGGCAGACCATAAACAAATGGTAGAATTCATCTCATTTAGCAGTGCACTTTACATAACTTGCACATGTAGGATGGCAGGAGCAGAATAAAATACACAAGAGCTGTTGGAATTATTTCTAAGATTTTGTAAAGTTGTACAAGATTTTCTTATTTTATATGAGACATTTATGACATAGGCAATAATGGTACTTGGTGGAGTTTCCATAGCTTAACTTTTGTTGTTGTTCAGTCGCACAGTCGAGTCCGACTCTTCGCGACCCCGTGGACCAGATCACGCCAGGCCTTCCTGTCTTCCACCGTCCTCTGAAGTTGGCTCAATTTCATGTTCGTTGCATCTATGACACTGTCTAACCATCTCATCCTTTGCCATCCCCGTCTTCTTTGTGCTGCTTTGTGCTAAATATGGCTGAAAATTAGACAGGGAGAGCAATATTGAGGGTAGTGTTGTGTTCAGCATGAATGTTAATGCTTTCAGTCATTTCAATGCTATAAATGTAATCAAGTCTATGGTAACAGAATTTGGACCAGCCGGCACTCTCTCTTCCCTTTTCCCTGTTATCAGACCCACAATGTCAGTCTCATTTGTGCTGGGCTTCACAGACAAGGTTGGGATTACCAATTCTTTGTACAGTGCCTTGTGGTACAGTGCTTTGCTCATTGGTACTTTCTTCTCATAGAGTGGAAAATTTACTCTGTTTTTGGCTGGAAATTGTAATGCAAGCTTGAGCAACAACCAGTGTTGTTAAAATTGGTAATATATTCCTGTAATTGCAGCTACTTGGCAGGCCAGCACCTGAGATTTGGAAAGCTGAAAACTAAAGCTGGAATTTACCCTTGACAAGACAGAGGTGCTACCGGTGGGGAGAATGGTCTGACCTGGAATTTAAGGTGTCACTCATTCTGGATGGGGTAGCACTCCCCTCAAAGGAACAGGTCCATAGTCTGGAGATGCCCTTGGACACAGGCCTACTGCTGGATAAGTAGGTGGCAGTAGTGGCCAGGGGTGCCTTCACCAGCTTTAGCTGGTGAGTCAGCTTCTACCATTCCTGGGCAGGAAAGATTTTGCTGCTGTAGAGTACTAGATTATCGCAGGGTGCTCTAAATGGAATTGCACTTGAAGTTTGTCTGGATGCTACAATTGGTACAGAATGCTGCAGGCAGAATGTTGACTGGAATGGGTTGTAGGGATCATATTATTGGGATATTTGGTTAATACAGCAGATTCAGTTCCCATTCAGGTTGTAGTTAAAAGAAGAGAGAGAAGCCTAAAGAGTACTTTCTCTATCACAAGTCATTAGCTGATCCGGCATCGTGTGTATGGAAGTATGAAACCGTTGTTTCTACGAGAAAGACCTGTAGAGATTCCACAAAAAGCAGTGTGGTAAATGGGAAAAACAAAGGACACACAGAGAGATAGGAAGGGTCAGAGGGCACCTCCCAGGTTAAAACTAAGAGGGGCATTCCATTCAAGGAGATAATACTTATACACCCATAGAATGATGAAACATCTCCCCTCCAATGTCCAGGCATGCTGAGTTGCTGACTCCAACACATATTAAAACATCTCCCCTCCAATGTCCAGGCATGGTGAGTTGCTGACTCCAACACATATCACTGCAGTCTTGTTCCATCTACATTGGTTCTGAATTTGCTTCTGGGCCAAATTCAAGGTGCTGGGATTTACCTTTGAAGTTCTAAATGGCTTGGAGCCAGCATACCTGAAGGATTGCCCATTTCCATATGAACCTACCCAAAAGGACACGTAAAAGCAGGGACTCCAGTAATCTTTGGAGGCCCTGCTTATGAGTGTCATCTGTGGGTAGATGGGTAGCAACCTGAGAGCCTTCTCAGTCATTGTGCCAAAACTTTGGAACTATGTCTCCAGGCAGATTTATTTGCCTTATTCTATCATTGACTTCCACCAGTGAGTGACGACTCTTTTTATTATTTATTTATTTGTTTGATAAATTGTATTTACTAGTCCGCCCTTCCCTGCAAGCAGGGCTCAGGGCAGCTTACAACAGTGTTATCTGTTCACATACAACTACATTTAAAAACTGTCCAATAAATAACAATAAGTAAGAACAATGTATATACAGTACTTAAGGCGGCGGAAAATCCTAACTCCCCAGTCTCCCTGAGGGGAGGGGCTATGGAAAATGAGGAACCACATGTGAGTGCCAGAAGAAGTCCCATCACTGTCCTCAGACGAAAGCTCGGTGGAACATCTCTGCCTTACATGCCCTGCGGAAAGTAACAGCTCCCGCAGGGCACAGATGTCTTCCAGCAGAGCGTTCCACCAGGCAGGGGCCAAGGCTGAAAAGGCCGTGGCCCTGGTTAAGGACAGCTGGACCTCTCTTGGGCCGGGGACCACCAGCAAGTTCTTATTTCCTGAGCATAGTGCTCTTCCAGGAGCATACTGGGAGAGGCGGTCCCAATGATATGTAGGTCCCTGACTGCTAAGGACCTTAAAGGTCAAACCCAAAACCTTGAACCCGATCCAGTGCTCCACTGGAAGCCAATGCAGCTCATGCAGCACTGGTTGAATATGTGCTGTACGAGGGATCCCTGTAAGAACCCATGCAGCTGCATTTTGGACCAGTTGAAGCTTCCAGGTCAGGCACAGGGTCAGGCCCACGTAGAACAAATTACAGTAGTCCAGCCTGGAGGCGACCGTTGCATGGATTACCGTGGCTAGGTTAGGGCAAGACAGGCAGGGAGCCAGCTTCCTGATCTGGCAGAGTTGGAAAAATGCCATGTTGGCAACCTTTGCAACCTGGGCTTCCATAGATAAAGAAGAATCCAGAGTTACAGAGATCGAAGCGGTCTATCGATCCTATTCTAAATATATCAAGCAACATAATATGCCGGGCGAGATTGTAGTCAAGTTCCTCCGAAGACAGACAAGAGATGTCAGTTGACTCTGTTTTAACCATCTCACCGCAACCTCCGAACCCTCTGCAAGATTCCCTGGGTTGGTATCTGGCCAGCCACCCATCAACAGGTATAGCTGGGTGTCATCAGTGTATTGGTGCATATAGATGTTAAACAACATCGGGGAGAGAAGTGCCCCCTGAGGGATCCCTCATTCCAGTGGGTATCTCGAGGACACTGTCCCTCCCAGTGCCACCCTCTGTCCCTGACTGTGGAGAAATGAGGTGAGCCATTGCAAGGCTGTCCCGCGGATTCCAGCATTGGTGAGGTGGTGAGTCAATAGGTCATAGTCGACTGTGCCAAACGCTGCTGTGAAATCAAGTAGTATCAGCAGCACCGACCCACCTCAATCCAGCTGTCTGCAGAGATCGTCTGTGAGGGGGACCAATGCCATCTCCG